TAAGAACATTTATATTAATTTGTAGTTTTTTTATTCACTTATAAATGAGTTACCAATGCAATACTATTATTTTTTTAAAGTTTCTGGCTTATCTTGAATAGAATTCTGCCAATTAACACATCACTACAGCGACAGCACCAACCGAGTTCTATTGGTATAGTGTTCGGCAAACAGAAAAGTATTCGATGTTGAAAAAACATCGAAGTTTTTAAGCGATGCATCGAAAACGTCATCACGAATGTCAAGCAGATGGAATCTATATGGATGGAGTTTATATTTGAAATGGCTAAATTTATTATAAAAAAAACAGTGATCTATTCATTAGTGCTGTACCCACTTCTTTAGGACCGTCTAGACATAAGAATATATTATTAAGCTTTCCGCAAAGTACATTAAGCATCTATCAGAATAGTCCGTATTATAATGCAATAAAATTTCACAATAAACTACCAGAATACTTAAGACGTGATATAAATTACACTAAAAAATCAAAACTATTATTAATTGACATTATAACTACAAGTGCTATTATAGAAATAGACCAGCGCCAAATAGATTTTTGTTTTTAAATGATTGATTGAGGAATAGTGGGAAATTTAAGTAACACAAATTGTGTGAAATGACGATTGATCAATCAATTGGTGGAATTAATCTAATTCTTTTACTATATGGTTCAGTTAAAAATAATCAATTAATAAAAAGAGATAAATTAATGTGTTTTATAATACCTCTACATAAGAAAATCTGAAGGACAAAAGTATCGATACCGTGTCCCTAAACATCGATGTATTTTCTATGTGGACACCCCTAATAACTAGCGATAGTGGAGATACGTACTATGAGCGATGAGCGATCTAAAGCGCTGTTCCAAATAAGGAAGCTGTATTAGATGCACCACAAGGTAGGTAGTAGGCTCCTCGCATTATATTCGAATTGTTGACAGTGGTCTTTCCGCGGGAGAAAATCTTAACACAGCGATGCAGAATTGTTATATTGACGCCAATGCCATCTAGTGGTGCGCGACGGAACTAATTTGTGTTGTTGCGTGATATCGATGCCTTACTTTCTCAAACTCGTATTATATAAAGAACGACTATTCAGAAGATGCTAAAACTTTTTATTTATTTTAAATTTCTTATCAAGGTTGTTGCTGTAAGAATAGATAAACGCCAGTGTGTAAATATGAGGCAAATCAACCTGTCGAATTTGTATATACAATCAATTTTTTCCATATCATTAAGATACGAATTTAAGAAAGTAAGGCGACGATATTGTGATTTTATTACAATGCATATTAATTTTAAGTGCGCGGATTGCGGGATGCGAGAGGCAGTCCCCCACACCTCACCTTCTAAAATCTATACTCGCGTTCAAAACGCTCGCCTGAATTAACAGTACAACTTACCACTTGAACCAAAAACTTTCTTAAACACCTCCTGGACCTGTTCCATATCATGGCAACCTGTGATCCTCATCAACCGCCTCTCGATCGCAGTCAGAGGTTTCTGAGTGGTTGTAGTGGTTGTTGTAGTCATTGTAATCTTCTTGGGTTTGTTTTGTTTTATGTGTTCGATTGCTTTTAGGATATCTGAAAGGTACAACATAACGGTAATGAGATATTTTGTTATATATTGACGGTAATGATAAATTACTTTCAACACTCGATACTCAATATATTTATTGTCTTCATATGGTATGTACGGACAACGGCACATCAGACTACACATTTTTGTTCGAAAATCGCCTCCAGTGCAACGGAACAAGATACGTCAATGTGTAGCTTGATGTGCTGGCGTGTGTACATAAGGTCTTAAAATTAAAATAATACTGCACTTATGAGTCCTGTGTTAAGGATATCAATAAGAGCAGAGGCAGGCCGAGATTTAAACTAGTCAATGGAATTCTTCACTATCAAATGTATGTATAATAAGAGGTTATCACTAAGAAAATTCCAATTAAATTAAATTACAAAAATAATCATGACTATATAATATAATTCAGAAGTTTATTTATTATTTATTAATTTTATTATTAAAATTTGTTACAATGTTATTATATTTTGTAATTACTTAGAATATAATAGATGGGAGCTTGGTCACAGTTTCATTTCATCTTAAGCGATAATATCCTTGACGATGTCTAGAAAATATCTGAATTGAAGCTTTCGGGAAAAAACATTGCCGGCAGTGTATTTCATTCCTTTGCCGTAGTCATTAGGACAGATGAAACAAAGTTTTGTGAATGGGTGGTAAGGTTATGATATAACGATGGAGCGTTCTAGACTTTCTAATATATTATAATGTACTGTAATAAGAATTTTTCGAAAGTATGGTAATGATTTTTTTATGCACGTAATTTTACTCACCTTCTTCTCCAGTGTATGCTCGTAATCTTCTTAAAGACTCAATGAAATCTGTAAAAATAATCATTCAAAAATTTTTAATTTATATTTTTAAAACATTTTCTTTTTGTTTTGTAAATCATTATTAATGCTTAAAATACAAATCAGTGATTAATAAATTATTAGTTTAGTTTTAAGAACAAACGATAAACGATAAATATGATATTTACCTTTTGCCTCGGTGTAGTCTTCGAAGATAGTAATGACTTCGTCAAAACCTGGAACAAAAATTACTCTGTACGATTTTCTACATTTCTACGAATGAAAAATCTTAGAGTAATAATTTCATTTTCCATGAAATTACATTATATTCAGGCTATATGTTTTATGTAAATAAAAGCAAATAAATATAACATGAGACTCTTGCATTATAATGGCTAAAATACTGTGTACTTAGCTGTCTGCATTTTAATATATATTTTATTTCATATATTTTTATTTGCGTAAATGAAGTAGGTATCGTATACACACATTATGCTAACTATCAGTAACAATGAGGTAAAGCAAGCAAAATTAAGTGATTCAGAGAATCAGTCGATTACAATCGTTACAGTCAAAAAAAATGCGTCATTGTTACAGAAATATAGGTAGTTGAAAATAGTGGTAGTAGGAAATAAGATTGAAAATAAAAAATATATAAAACAATTGTATAGTATAGTAAAAACCGTATACTTACGGAATCGCTTGCTGAGGGTAATGATAGCTTCGAAGAAGGTAATGACATCTGAAAGGACATAAAAATATTGCAATTTCACAAATTCTTCATTCCGTCATCACAAAAGCTCAATAGAGAACAAGCGTCTCAAAAACACACACAGGTCTACACACATGCTCCCTACTCACTCATAATAATTAACATTACTCTGAAGTAATAATTGTACAACCAGAAAGTGGAGACTAAAAATCTTCAGGTACAGAACAACCTCAGTTTAAGCTCCTGTCTCTAACGCATCGATGTTATAGCTCTGTTATATTTGTTTGTTACTGTTAGTATGTGAGATACATCACCAAATATTATTATGAAATGTTTTCTCTGAAGTGATTACTATGAAGTAATTAAATTATCATTTACAGTTAAAGCGCGATGTACTTAGTATACTTAAGAAAAGTCAGTGGTTGAAATTACTAGGCAAGCGCTTTTCTAAGTAATAAAAATGAAAGTAAATTAATTTGCTACTGCGCGAACCCAGTGAAGGTTAAATCGTGCAAAACAGCTGCGCTTGTATTGAATATTTTCACGAATAAACACTTCTTCGGCCGAGCATCGAACAATCAACAGCCCGTGAGGATGCGTCGTGGAGAGGCGAAACACGCGTTGGGTATATTTAGTGCTGGTGTTTGTGACTATAGTTGCGCTTGCGTTATTTATTTTATTAATTATATGCGTAACGAGAGTGGGGAAATTAACTGCATGAAAAATATTTAACACAAGTGCAGCTATTTTGCGCGATTTAACCTCGGGTTCGGGGAGTAGCGAATTAATATACTTCCATTTTTATTAACATGGACTTTCGCAATGTAACGCCTGAATCTATTAATTATTCTTCTAAGTTAAGGCTGCTTTAAGAAATATACAGAGAAAACTACAAAGCTTAAGATATTTAATTGGAAATACTTACCTATACGAACTATTGAATAGATCACCTCGATTGCCTCGAATAGTCCTGGAACAAAAAATGTGTTAAAAAACGAATCGATATTTCGGGGAAGAAAGTACTCAAAAGTCGAGCTATAAAGTTTGCAAGACGATTGAAAAGTAAAACAAGCATAATTTATACTTTTTGCTTAATAACTTTTTCAGGATTTCGAATTTTGGATTATCGGTACGAGAACATACAAATTCTTATCCAATTTTTTGATATTTTTGAATAAAATCTTCTTTTACGTCTCTTCTTACCCGAAATATCAAATTAACAAGTTAAAGCCAACTTGTATAAATAAAATAAACAATCAAAAATCTATAACATTCCAAAACATAACATGTGGCACCAATTAAAAGGAATCTGCATTCTTGAATTGCTTTTACGAACTAATTTTGTTATAGTATTTTATATAATATAGACTTTGAAATGAAATGAAATTTTATTCACCAGCAAACACGGTAACAAAAGATATTATGCAAGGTGTCAGGGTTACGTGTTGCATCAGGTACTGGCACGCAAATATTATAATTAAATTGAAGTTAAATAATGTCATAAAATTATAATTATATAATTTGTCAAATAAGCAATGTGAAATAAAATTAAGTAGAAATGCCAATAAATAGCTACAGCAATAAAATCATAATATAAACAATATCAAAAAAGTATGAACAGCACAAATACAAATTCTTTCTTTCTATAATTTCTATAATTTTAAGTTAAATATTTGCACAGCTTATTTGCCTTCGTATATCAGTGACTTGGACTATGTTGCATTTTTGGATAATTGTGAGCGTATTATTATGACATCATCGAATTCTCGTACACTTATTGTTGGGGATTTTAACTTGCCTGAAATCGACTGGCTTACGACATCTCCTACTATAAGTACTAACCGCCGAATTTGCGCTCTGACTGATTTTATTAATAGAACTGATATGACCCAATCTAACTTGACTTTAAATAAGCATAACAAAATATTGGACCTGGTTTTCGTACAGTCAGACATGCCATGCAGCGTATTTGAGTCGCAAGCATTGAGTCGCTGTGATAAATATCACCCCCCACTTGATTTAATTTTACAAATACATTGCCCCAAATCACCATTCCTGAAAGAGAACCGCACTATAAGATATCGATTTTACAAAACTGATTTTTCTTCCTGTCTCTCCGAACTCTCCCAAATCGACTGGGAACAGCATTCTGGTCTCAATTGTGACGATTTTCTATTTGTGTTCTATAACCACTTATGGGAAGTTATCGAGAAGCACACACCAAAAACTTACTCTAAAAATACGTGCCCCACTTGGTTTTCCCGCTGCCTTATTAAAATTTTAAACGAGAAAAATAAATATCACAAAAAGTTTAAAAAATTTGGTAATCCACGAGATTTCGACACATTTTCGATGCTTAGATCTAGGGCAAAAATCGTTTTACACGGGTGTTTTGAGAATTATATTACTAGTATAGAGACAAACATTAAATATGACATAAGAGCTTTTTGGAGATACGCTAAATCCAAGAGAATTACTAATAACTTACCGAAGCAAATGCACTACGAGGGCGATACTGCACATACCGGCTGTGATGTGGCTAACTTATTTGCTAAACACTTTGCGTCAGTTTACTCCGAACCATCAAAAACGCCATACATTCCGGACTTCCCAGAATCGAATTATAGCATTTCATCTTTTATCGTTTCTGAAGCTGACATAGAATCAATAATAAAATCCATTGACATAACAAAGGGAGCAGGCCCTGATGGTATACCACCGGTTTTTGTAAAAAACTGTGGGACTGTAATATCAAAGCCTCTCAGTATTATATTTAATAAGAGTCTTAGTAGTGGTTACTTTCCCCAATTATGGAAATTGGCTAAAATTACCCCAATCCACAAATCAGGCAGTAAATCTGATGTCAAAAATTATAGGCCCATTAGCATTCTTTCTTGTTTCTCAAAAATTTTTGAAACCATGGTACATGAGCGCTTGAATTTCCACCTAAGACATGTAATCAGTCCAAGGCAACATGGTTTTGTTAAGGGCCGTTCTACTACTTCTAACCTCTTAACGTATGTGCATTACTTAAATGCGGCCTTTAATGCTCGTTCTCAGGTTGATTCCTTGTACACTGATTTTGCTAAAGCCTTTGACAAGGTTGATCACATAATTCTTTGCCAGAAGGCTCATCACCTCGGTGTTCACGGCTCGCTTTTGCGTTGGCTTGCTTCATACTTGGAAAACCGCACGCAGCTCGTTGCGGTTTACGGTTACGAGTCTGTTCCTTTTGAACCTACATCAGGCATACCTCAGGGATCTAATTTGGGGCCTCTTTTATTCCTATTGTTTATAAATGATCTTGTGGATTCCATTTCTTGCCCCTGTCTAGCTTACGCTGATGATTTAAAACTATATTGTGAAATAAAAACAGTAAATGACTATGCCGCTTTGCAGCGTGATTTGGACCGTGTGTGCGTATGGTGTTTTAGAAACAATATGTATTTAAACGTAGACAAATGTCACGTTATTACGTTTTCCAAAAAAATAACAATCACTGAATACCAGTACAATATGAACAGCGTCGTACTAACGCGACAGAATAGGGTCAATGATCTTGGTGTTTGGCTTGATGCTAAACTAAATTTTTCGTACCATTACGATTACATGGTTGCCAAAGCAAATAGAATGTTAGGTTTTGTTAATAGAGTCACTAAGCCATTCAAAAATCCGAACAGTATTATAACGCTATTTTCTTCCTTGGTCCGCAGCAATTTGGAGTATTGCTCAGTTATATGGTCACCCATGTATAATTGTCATATCGACAGAGTAGAAGCTGTCCAAAGACGGTTCCTGCGTAATTTGAGCTCGAGATATGGGATGCGTAGGAAATTAGAGACTTACGAGGCAAGACTCAAATATTTTAAGATTAATGCTCTCCAATCCAGACGTGTGATACTGGACTATTCCACATTGTTTAAAATTGTTAACAGTGAAATGGATTCAAGTGAGCTCTTAAGCCATGTCTCGTTTAAGATTGGCAGTAAACGTACACAAAAAGCTTTCTTTCTACCATGTACTACTAATAATGTCTCATATAATGATCCTATTTACCGTATGTGTAGAGCCCATAATGACTTGTGTAAGGACTTGGACATATTCTCCCACAGTCGATATACTTATTTAAATATTTGTAAGGACAAACTGAATATGTTGTTTATTTAAAAATCTTATTCTTAATATTATCTATGTGTAACATGATTTGTACTAATTAATTATTATTATTATTTTTTACTATAGTTTTTGAGTAGAGTTTGATTATTTTTTCTAGTTTGTTAATTTAAAAGTACATTTATTTACCTCGCAAATGTCGTGCGTGGCTGTCATAGGAGTGCAAATTAACTCAGATTGTAGTATAAGTTAATTTTAAGCAATGTCTCAGTTTGTATTCTGTAGCTATGCCATAAATAAATAAATAAATAAACAAACAAAACGTAAATTTTTTTCATTTAAAAAATCTTTAGTAGTCCGAAATGGCATTTTCCGGAAATATCGTTTGCTCGAATTTTCATAACCTCGAAAGTAATTTTGAGAGGAAAATGTTTTTTCTTTTAAACCTAACTTAACCTAACCTAACCGAATCTAATCGTGTCTTGCGATAAACATCCAACATATCCTGAAAGAACAACGGTTTCGTTATAATTCGGTTTTCGGTGTAATGACAATTCGAACAATCGTTATTTCGAAAAATATATTCGAATTTGTGGTAGGTTACCATCCTATGTATGTCAATAAGCCAACCAAGATTGGATGTTGGCTATTTGGACTTTAGTAAAAAATATCCACTCACCCTTCTGATTGGTCAACTTCTTAAGTTTGTTGGTAGCAACCCTGATGTTCGATGAGTTTGTAGATTTCATTATCGTCTCCAGGAAGACGATAACGTCTTCCGTTGTACGCGTGTACCTCAGGATCTTCTCAATGATTACGAAGATATCTAGAACGATTTAAATTTTTTTGCCTGGTATCAATATAATAGCTATTGCCTAAATTAAGTTGTTAAGCATGATTAGTTCTATAGACAGGTTTTTCACAAAAGACATCATTCTAAATTCATTCATTCATACATTCATCATTCCTCTTTTAATAAAAAAAATCATATTCATCTTTCTCATTATGCCTTCTTAAGAAAGACCCTTACTCTAGCCAACGATCTCGCTGCTTGCCGGCCCTGCACCGCCGTCCTCGGTTTGCAATACCCGAGGGCAGAGGCCTCCAACTGCGAGTCTCCATTTTCTCTTATCTTAACCTATGCACTACCCTACATTACTCATTCTTCTCTACTATGCCTTAAACACTCTCAGATTTTTTCTTTATAAGTACAATGTATTGATTTGCATTCTCACCATCTTTACAGAGGTCTATATCCGAAGGTCTATATCCTTTATAGAGGTTCTATATCCGAAACTGAACCCAAATCACTAAAAAATAAATTATTTTTTATTTAATTGCGGTAAACATTGATTCGCAGTCAGCTGATCCTGCTTGATCCAAAGGTCATTGACTTGCATGGTGCTACTAAAACTTATAGCGCAGCCGGAGTTCACAGGAACCGAGAAAGTATTGCTATATCTTTCTTTCTCAAACGCAGCGCACGCGCCTGTCTAATTACCTCGTTTACGCACAAGGATTAAGGTGGAATAGTCAAACTCGCCGCCATTCTAGTGATCTATTAGCTAGCTTTCATGAAATGCCACGTGGTTTGGTATATATACAAGAGTTAGTGCAAAAATAACCGCTACCAGGTTCACCAGACCTTGCATTACCATCAAGTGCAAGTACGTGCCTGTTCCTAACGCATGATGTGAAAGGTTTCTTTTACGCGGAGGAGATTACGAGTGTCTTAGATTTGCGCGCAAAAATCGTCTCTGCTTTCAAAATTGTGAAGTCAACAATACTTTCTTGTAACCTAAAGTTGGTAAGTACCAAATCTAAGTTACAAAAAAACTTTTTTAATCAACTTTTCTATTTAATGTAAATAATTAGTAAAATATAACAATACTAGTAAATAATCATAATAAAAAAATAGGTAAATAGCGATCCAGAAAGATTACGCGTCGCTCGGTGAAGCGGGTGGCGGGGTCATTGCCCTCGCGCGGTGCATATGATTTTGGGACAATTTTGCAAAATTTTAGCAGGTACAATTAGCCAGAATATTTTATTTAAATATTTTTAGATGATTTAGCATTGTTTCTATTTTTTTTAAATATGACGAGAATACAAATCAATATACTATATAAATGTATTGTTTTACTTAGTAATTTTTCACCCTATCAATTTCGTAGTTCCCATCCACTCTAAAAGCCACTCTAATACGACAAAATGTGTTTACCTCTGTATCCAGTTGTCACAGCATAGATTTCCATGGCACCTTGGAGCGCTATAAATATAACAGAAAATTGGTTAATGTAAGAATTCAAAGTAAAGTTTTCCCCTTTTCAAGATATGCTATACTCACATGAAGTTCCAGCATACTCAATAATCTTTCTGAAGAAATCCCTGATGTCCTCGTGACTTGATTGGATGCGGATTTGCTCCAAGCACTGCAGGAATGTATCTGGAAAGTCACGAAACTATAAAGTACACTGTTCAGACAATCAGCTGCACACTGTTACATAAACAAATGCATACCAGTTTTAAGAAAATTTAACAGTCAAAATGATTATTACAAAGAAAACTAAACCACTCTTGCAATGGCAAGTCCTACAATGCACTTACTAAGTTTTATATTGTTCCGCCCAGAGCTCTAGTTCCGATAATTTTATTTTAACCACATCGTAGCATAGTATTTCCATTGAGTCGCCACTGACATCATAGTGGCAAAGGCAATTGAGTCTCAATAGGGTTTTAGGCTATTGACTGACATAGCGATAGGACGAGTTGTGCTCTTTTCAACTCGCGTTACTCGAATTGACGTGATTGCTGACTCGAGTTGCAACTCGAGTTGACTCAACTCGGTGTCTGACAGTGCAATCGCGAGTCGCAAGTACCGAGAGTAATGCGGGGTATATTCATATGAATTCGAACCGACGATTCACCGAATTGGCCACGATCAGCCGGCCGACCGCGGCCGACTCAAGACCTCTGCGTGGCAGTCCAGCATGGATACCGTTCGGCCACGGAAGTAGTTTGACTTGACTCGCCCATCGCTAGGTGTCAGTGGTATGGTAATGATGGCATTCATTCAATCACTGACGATAGACTTTGCCTTATTAAAACTACAATGGAGATATGCATAATATTTAAATTAATTTTTATTTCGTTTAAACAGCAATGTTTAGTAGTCAATCCTCGAATTAACTGTATTTTTTATGTCCTATAAACTAGTAGACTACGCCATCGCCGTTGAAGAGAAAACGAGACAAAGGACAGGATAATAAGCCAGTCACTGAGAAGCCAGTATTGTTAACTTTTAAAATAAAATTCTGAAATTTAAAGTAAATAGAAAGTTTTGATACGAGTTTGAGAAAGTAAAGCTACGAAATATTAATCCTATTTTTATTTGATTTATTTTCCGAATTAATAAAAATTAAATTTAAAATAAAATTCATAATTTAAACCCTACCTAAACCTACCCACATAATTATAATGCTGTGGAATTTTCTCTCTCAACTTATTCTTTTTGGTAACCTATCACAATCTCGAATATATTTTTTCCAAAATTTTTTTTTTTTTTTTTTTTTTTTATACCTGACAGGCAAATGACTCCACTCCACCTGATGTTAAGTGGAAAATGGTATCCAAACGCGAAGGAACCTAGTGCAGCGATGGAATCCTCACTGCACTAGCCGCCTCCACCCTGCCTGCCTACAATATGCCTCTTCACGCCTCGTTTGAAGGACCCCATATCATAAGAGGGAGGGAAGACATGTGCCGGAAGGGAGTTCCATTTGTCAACAGTGCGGCAGAGAAAGGAGCCACCGAACCTTTTAGTACGCGATGGAATGCGGCAGGTAGTGAAACGGTGACTACGAAGGCCAGCACGCGTGCTTCTGAGCAGGAACGGGGAAGGGGGGATGAGGTTGAACAGCTCCTCAGAGCACTCACCATGGTACATGCGGTAAAAGGCGCTAAGCGATGCAACATCTCTACGCAGTTGCAGAGGTTCAAGGCGTGATGAGACCTCTTCGTCGCCTATAATTCGAGTAGCACGACGCTGTAATTTATCCAAGGCATCGAGTAGGTACTTGGCAGAGTCGTCCCACAAGTGCGAACAATACTCAACGCAAGACCGGACCTGTGTTTTGTACAGCAGGCATAACTGGTCCGGCGTGAAAAAACGTCGCACCTTGTTCAGGACTCCGAGTTTCCGTGAGGCTGTTTTGATCACAGATTCGATGTAGCTCCTTGGATTCAAATCACAGCAGATTTCCATACCGAGCAAGGTGAAACTGCTCCGAGGTGAAAGTGCTGTGCTCATCAGAGAAGGCATGGGAAGGAACGGCGACAATTTTGTTGTTAACGCGCAAACCTGTGTTTTCTTGGCGTTGAACTCAACAAGATTACTGGATCCCCATGCAGATATGAGGTCCAATATCCTATTGAGCTCAACGACAAGATCAGATCGCTCTCTGTCAGTATCGGCGCGCCCAGCTGCGGGGAATCCATGATATCCCCCATGAACAGTGCTATCATCTGCATAACAATGAATATTCCCAAGTGGAAGCATATCATTGATATGCAGAAGGAAAAGCGTGGGAGATAGGACGGATCCCTGCGGTACGCCGGCGTTCACATTCACGAACCTCGAAATGCTGCCGTCAGAAACGACGCGAATTCTCCGCTCACGAAGGAAATCGGCAATCCAGCTGCATAACTGGGCTGGCAAACCGTACGCCGGGAGCTTGGAGAGAAGAGCTTTGTGCCAGACCCGATCGAACGCTTTGGCTATATCGAGGCTAACAGCCAACGATTCGCCACGTTTGTCTATAGCCTCACCCCAAATATACGATAAGTACGCTAGAAGGTCACCCGTTGATCGTTTCGGACGAAACCCACACTGCCGATCATTAATTATGGAGCGATCTTCTAGGTATTGGGTCAGTTGTTTATTAAGGATCCGCTCTAAAACTTTGCATATTATGGAAGTAATGGCTATGGGACGGTAATTATGCGGGTCTGATCGGTCGCCTTTTTTGGGAACTGGTTGCACATTAGCCTCTCTCCAAGAGTCCGGCACACGACCTGAAGAGAGCGACAGACGATACAGTCGCGTTAGCACGGGGGTCA